GTCTAAATCATAGCTCAAAATCATGAATTTGTGAGTTTGATATGGTTTGTATGTGATTTTGGCATGATTTGTTAAGAAAAGTTTTTGTTTGGGTAAAATTTTGTGTTCGATATTACATATTCTAATTTTTCTTGAGGTTTAGCTTGAAATTCACTATCCTTTGTAATCAACTGCATTTTGCTATACAATGATTAAAAATTGTTCTCTTGAAAATAAAGACCAGTGATGGAGACCAATAAAGGGAACTTATCTTCTAATTTCTCTTCATATTTATGAGCAGTATTAGTTTTGCAAATGCAATCAATTTGCTTCAAGAACCGAACATGGATGAAACGGACGAAGGCTGATAGATTTTAAATAAATATTACGGATACAAACCACAAACAAATTTTCTTACCTTCCGCATAAAAGAGTTACACTTCATATTTTCCTTAATGTGCAGTGTTATGTCCTAATTTTATAAACCCGGAAATTGTAGTTATTGTAAACATGTACCATGTGCACAGAATGAAGTCCGGGAAATTTACTAGCAAGTTCAAATATAAGCGTTTAAGGAAGGCGTTTGAAAGGCGTTTGAAGGAAATAAAGAAGCAACAAGGTATCAATATTATGAAAGGTGACGAAAACTGATGATAATTGTTCGGAGTGTGTTCATACAGACATTAGAGGAGACAACTCTTTCCTGGCCTGGTTCAATAAATGTCATTTTTATATGTGAAACTGTTTTTTTTTTCTCGTTTTAATAGTGTCGAAAGGGTACATGTACCTTATTCTTTGTTTTTTTTTAAGTAATACCACTGTAAAGACTGAAAAAATAAAGATATTTTAAGATTGTTTTGAAACTTTTTTACATCAATCTTAATATTTTTTTTGGATATTGATTACTTTTAAAAAACAATAAAGAAAAAACAATGCTTGTTTTCCATAAAATGTTTAACCCAGGATAGTGACCTGCATATCTTTATCAATACAAGTTGTTTATAAAGATTCCAGAAACAGAAAATAAATAAGAAACTTTGAAAGAAAAAATTTAACTGGAAACATACATTTTCCAACTTTCCCCCAAATTTTGGTTAATTGTTCAATCATAAAATTGTTAGATGGTCGAATATTTCTTTAGTAAGAAGGGCTTGAGAATATAAAAAGATAATTCACCCTCTGGGGAAAAAGTTTTTTTTGGTGTTATTTATCCTTAAAAATACATAAATACAATTTGGAGAAAATATGCCAGTAAAAGAACATGAACAAAACACTTAAACAGGTACTTGAACAATATTCGAGAGGGAACTTGTACAGAATTGAATTATTTTTACCTACAGATTTACTCTTTCTTGGGACGTAATTGATCGTTAGAAATGAAACATGTTCATAAAATATGGAATTAATGTTAAACAGCAAACAAAGCTTTCATTTCTTAATTATCTTTTATTGATGTTCCTTATGTTTAGGAACAACAACTTAGTCGGAGCACAAAGAAAGTCTAAAGTCGTAAAATAAACGTCTTTGTCAAGTAAAGCCACTTGTGCAGATCCGAAGAGAACAATAATACGTATTCATGAAATACTGTTTATGATGAAGAAAAGTATAAATATATACTAGATTGACATTGTGTATGCAGAAGCAATTTTACTGCTCAACTTGTATAAACAAATTCCAATGCCGTTATCAGCTATATGACTGTTGTCAAACTATTACATAAAATATTAAAGTCCACGCTTTTCGATATCATTGACGGGTGCATTTTCAATAAAAATGGAACTCCAAAATTTACTTACCTTGCCATTAGTCATTTGCAAAATTACTTTGTTATACAGCATTCTGATTGTACACACAAGTACAATGAAGTTTACATCAAAAAGACTTCTCACGACATAAATCTTGAGTTTCTGATTGACAATATCTATGTTGTTGTTGGTCTTCCAATAATCCATTGGAATCCCAATGGGTACCAATTGCGGCACCTTATTATCAGACCTATTTCTGTTTATCAAATGAGGCGGAATTTGTGCAAAATTTATGTGTGAAAAGAGGAAGAAAACACTTGATGCGGCCTTCAACTGGACATTTAGATATATCGACGACGTGCCGTCAATTAACAATGGTTATTTCCATTTTTATGGCGATACGATACATCCTGGTGAGCATGAGATAAAGATACTACAAAGTCTGACACATCGACGACGGATGTTTCCGTTTTATCCATGACAAGGAGCAAACGGTGGGTATTACCGGTCGACAGCGGATGCTCACTCCTCCATGGCACCTGATCCGACCTGGAGATAACTCACTCTACTGCAACTTAAAAGTCCATTACTGTTTGTTGCCTCAATATATTTCACGAAACAAAATTGAACCAGAGCAAACACAGACCTCCAAAGAACATCAACGTCGAGATGAGTAACAATGGTGAAGTGAGCATCCCCTGCCGACTGGTCCCATCCACCGTGTGTTCCTTGTCATACGAAAAATCTGTCGTCAATCCAGTGTATATATATATATATATATATATATATATATATATATATATATATATATATATATATATATATATATATATATATATATATAAAATTTTTCGTATTTGGGACCTTACAATAAGTCATGACAAACATATTATATACGACAGATTTTTCGTATGACAAGGAACACACGGTGGATGGGACCTTACAATAAGTATGACAAACATATTATATATCTTTGAAAGATTTTACTATTCTTTCGAAGATTTATTTTAGCAATTTACATGTATCTTCAAGTAAAACATTTGGCAGGTAAACCAGGCAACATGTAGTTCGTCGACAGAATCTTACAACAGAAGTCCAAACACTATGCTCCCGATCAAAGGGAAATATAATTTACTTGTTCAAACTTGCAGAATGTGTCAAGGACATGTGATCTCTTCTTCTTTTTATAAACTTTTCTTTGAAAAAAGTAAAATATGGAGGTCGTATGGAGTTTAAAGACAAAGTTAAGAAACCATATTCAGTTAAAGTTAACGAATCATTTCAAAATTTTCCTTTGTTTTCTAAGTTAATGGCACATGTTAGAATCCAAGAAAATCATAGCAGACTCATTCCCCAGAAACAAACCACATCAGGATCATACTTCCTTATTTATCATCTATGACCCTCTATTTATCATTTTCGAAGATCATTAGTGCGGAAGCAAAATTTATGTGTATATATTTCAGTGAAAGCAGAAAAGTTCATCAAAGCAGAAGTTGCGAAAAGAGCATTTTATTCATGAGATAAAACGAAAATTAAAGAATAGTTAATTTAAGAACTGATAAATCATGAATAATTTTTCAAAACTAATACTTATAACGCAGGTGCAAGTTAATGGATGCAATGTTATAATTATGGTTTAAACAATTTTAGCATGTTAGCGTAATAAGGAAATGAATTGAAACGTTTTCAAATAAAATTTTAAGCAGCTAATGTATTTGGACCAGGGTTTGTTCCTTATTTACGGAAGTAAAGGTTGTGACAACAATTTCTGTGAAACACAACTGAATGTCAAAAGGTTACATACAAATAGAATAGAAGGAATTTTTAATCAAAATAGCGGTCGTTCTTACAAAAAAAAAAATTGGTTAAATAAATTGGAACTTTAATTTACAAAAAAAAACTTTTAAACTTCGACTTATTTATGTGAGAACTCTGAAACTTGATTTAGTATTATAAAAAAAAACTTTTAAAAATATTTTATTCACTTAGTGAAAAACATCGAACTTTTACCCTCAGAAGTAAAAACTATGTATATATATATATATATATATATATATATATATATATATATATATATATATATATACTTTGATTTACTTTATTGTAATACCATCTGATTTATGTTTGCATATTATAATTTAGTTCCCAAGTTTGATATTTATTTGTCATAAAATCTTCAGAGAACACTTATAAACCCGACCTCTCCCCTGAAATTATTCATGAACAAGAAATTATTTTTTAATAAAAGTTTCTTGCCATTCATAGAAAAAATTACACTAAATGTTAATATCGTCCCATGAGAGTAATATTATTGACTTTCCTATTTTTTTTTCTCCTAGAAATTATTCCAATTGCTAGATTTTAATTGTACAATTAATGAACAAGAAATTATTTTTTAATAAAAGTTTCTTGCCATTCATAGAAAAAATTACACTAAATGGTAATATTATTGACTTTCCTATTTTTTTTTCTCCTAGAAATTATTCCAATTGCTAGATTTTAATTGTACAATTAATGTTGGGTATGCTTTTTTCTATTTCTTTATTTCGATTTCATCATTAAAGCAAATGTATTTGTACCACACTGATTCTCCTGAATTGCAGCTCACAGCAAAGATGTTAGTTCTAAAATGCAAGTCAGGTAGATGACTAGTAAGAAAAAGAAGCCCTAGTTTAAACATTTCAAACATATTACTAAAGGCAAATATTTTTTTTTCACAAGTAGGTCAAAGTAATAGAGCTCAATTGTCAACGCCCACAAAATTAGCAGTAAAAGGTGACTTGTTTCATTGACATTTCAGCTGATGTTGTCTATCTTCGCATTTCGCAAAGGTATTTGTTAAGTTTTCCACCCGTCGATCAGAGTTTTGTCGTCGTTCACGGAGATTAAAGAAACTAAAGCAAAACATGCTATATTTGGTTATGAAGATACATTATCGTAGTTAACAGTGGTAATAAAAACTGCAGGTGCATCTCCTTTGAAAGTGTAAATGAGGAATTCGGATGGTGATTCCCTTTCATGGATATTGTGTTATTATTATACGATGGGTAAAACATTATTTCCGAAACAAATGCCTGCAGCTGCAGCATTGCCTTATTTCCTCTTTCACTTCGGTTGATATATAAATAATATTATTCTGAAATGATATTTTAATAATATTTATTATGGTTTCCAGATTTTAAATTGAGCAGGAAGTTTGAATGTTTGCTTAACACTACCATATTAGGATTTGGTGATCATTTGCAGTTGGTGTGCTGCTAAACTTATTTCTTAAAATAGTTATTATACAAGGAACAAAAAGGCGCAATATGTTTCAAGAATTATTCCAACACTTTATGTTATTATTACTACATGTACTTATGTTTTCGGCTAAAATTGTACTGTTGAAGAAAATAGCAGGTAAGTATCGATCGATCGAAATGACAAATACAGACAAAATTCAAGATCACCGGACTATACATATTTTTAATTACTGTATAGGGGGAAAATAACTCGCGGTGTTAATATTCGCTATATTCACGGTTTTGATGAATCCGTGAATTCAAGAAACAGTGAATAAGTTTTCAATATATAAAGATGAAGGAGGAAACTTTTCTTACATACCAATTCCGCGAATTCAAGAAACCGCGACAGCGTCAGAGAAGAGAAAAACGTGCAAGTTACTACCCGTGAAATTAATCCCCTATACAGTAATTCATTTTTTATTTTAGATTGTCAAATAGGATATTCTGGTCGTGAATGTGAATTACCCTGTCGATACCCAAACTATGGAATGAGTTGCCAGTCAGAGTGTTTATGTGTCGAGCAACTTTGTGATCACGTAAATGGATGTAAAAGTATAGTAATTTTTAGCTTTTAGCACATTTTAAAATTCCGAGTATGAAAAATTGGAACATTTTAATTAATACGTCAATGTGTTGCAGATTATTTGAAAATCTTTCAATTCAAAATCTGTTTAATAGACTAGTTTATAATAGTTTAAGCACAAAATAGGAAATTGAAATACATGTAATATGTTCTTTAAGCAAATCTACGATTGCTAAATTTAAAATGATAATTGGTAAACATGGCCTTTATTTTATTTTCCTATGACATTATGCACGTTAATAAAGAGAACTGCTAGTAATTGCAAACACAAAGAAAATTCCTTTTCTATAAAAGTTAATTGTCTAGAGAGTACAAAAGAACAGACATAAGATGTCTTTTTTAGAATGTCCACATGGTTTCCAAGGAGAGGCATGTCAACAAAATTGCTCATATCCAAGTTATGGTGAAAATTGCCAGTCAGAATGTGAATGCAGAGAAGAACAGTGTGATTTTGTTAATGGTTGTGAAGGTGAGGGAAACAAAATGTACAATGAAGGTAAGGTTCCCAGATAAGATGTTATGTATTAAAGGTATTTTCGTGATTTGCAGGTGGTATTAAAAAAAACAAAGAAGCTGCATGAGAACTGTTGTCAATCTTTTACATAAATATTCCTTCATCTACAAATGTTGAGATATCAAAGAATCACATCTTAGTACTATCAAACAAAATATAAAAATTCTATTCTTAAAGTTTTACATTGCGTACAATATTCCGCTTTCAACGCTTCATAAAAAGCACGAACCCAATCAAAGGGTTGCACTGCTTCAAAGTATACGGCATACATGTGTTACTATTTTTTTCCTTACAACTATTAACTAGTCTTTAAGAGATAATTTTAAACAATCAATTTGCATTATAAGCATGTTTTGTTGTGTTTTTTTCAGGTAGAGAAGACAACTGCACGTCTACCGGAAGATACAGAAATTCAAAGGCACTCCTTTCTAGCAATATTTTTCTTAGTTTTATAGCACTCATCCAGTTTATTTTTTATCTGTATTTTTCAATTTTCTACAAACCTCGATTGTTGTACATAACAAGGTTTTGATTGATTGATTGTATATATTTTAAAGTCCCTCTCGAGAATTTTTCACTCATAGGGATACGCCACCATGGAGAGTTTTTGTTATATGATGGGCACTTTTTAGCCATTGAGCAGAGAGGGATTTTTCGTGCCAGCATATACTGCGACGCGGATTCTCAGTATATGCAGTCTAATCCGAGGGACCGGTCTCCACATCAAACAGTGGGATTCGAACCCACGACGTAAGGATCAACTCCTTACTTCGCAACTGTCGTAGACGCTCTAACCACTAACGAGGTCGACAACAAGGTTTTGATGTAAGATGTGTATTATATGTAATTAACTTCATGTTTCTTGTTTAAGACCATATTATACAAACACACTTTTGTCATAACTGTTGAAATTATTAACCTGAGTCATGTTTCAATGAGTAAAATGAACAGATTTAACCACGTAGTTTTTTTCAATATTCATTAAAATTCAGACAAAAATGTAATTTGAATCAACATATATTTGTATGGATTAGTAAGGATAGTTGCAGAAAGGTAGAATTTGAACATCATAAAATGTTCACAATTTCTTTATATTTTGGAAATTTATTAGTTTTATTATTTGCAACAGAAATAAACCCTGAAATATATCCACATCCTGGCATTTATTTTTTGTTTGTATCATCTGTCATTAATTCTGCTTGAACATTATGCAGTGGTTCCTTTTTAAGAATAAAAATATTCTATTCTAATAAAACATAGGAAATCTCTAACCAATAAAAATGGCAAACTAAATGTAGATAACAGCATTTGCTTGCCTTTAAAATAAGGACCATATATCATTTCCTAATTATTACATTATGATAATTCACATAGATTAATATTTGGTGAGATTTATTGTTTAATTCCATATGCATTAAATAAAATTAAATTGATTTATTATCTCGAAAGGGTCTTTAAACCTATTTTCATTATCTTAGAAGTAATGTCAGGTTCACATATCCTAAGTCTGGAAACAACGTTTGATGAATAATTGTCAAATAAAATATAAGGCATGGACTTACAGTTGAAACATAGTGTAAAACAGGACTGGGCCAATTTGTATTAAAAACATAACTGATGGTAAATATAGGTTTAATAAGCATACAACATGTTTTTTAACATAATTTTAATTCGTGAAACTTCAAATACCTGTTGATTTTCAATATCCATAATTTATACTAATTTCCAATCCTTTATTCCTTTGTCGAAGAATCTAACTAAGAATTTTACACCTTTAAAATAGACAAATTAAAACTATGAAAGAAATATAGTAAAGTTTGGTGCAACTTGATGAAGAGAACTTTTTGAATAAAATGTTTATTGAGCGACTGATGCTTATGACTACTTTTGCGTCTCTGTGTAGAGTACACTATATCAGAACACTTTGAACTTAATAGTTTCAATACCACTTTTAGCATTAAAGCTGTTTCCATATGAAAAGATCATTTTTAGTTATCTAATCCAGTTATTTTTTGTCTACGGTAATATGTTCGCAATGATGGGCTCTGAATATGACTGTTAATCTCTTCTAGATTTATTTCCTACTTTCATCTTCACAGTTTGTTTTGCTTAAATTTTTTTTGATACATGTAGATGACTATTCGTTATCTTCACCTTTTTCCTTCATGGACACAATAGAATGTTTAGGTAAATTGACATGTTTGTAGAGAAGCTGCTGGTCCCTATCGTTAAAATCTTTGTCGAAATATTCTTTTAAGGTGGAACCTTGGTTTCACAATGTAAGTAAGCCCAGTCCATGTACTTGTACATGTACATGTAAATTCTATTGAGATAGAATTTTTAATTTTTATTTATAAAATGTATTTTAGCAAATAAGGAAATGCTCTTTCCTAGGAATAGAAAATGCTTTCGTTTTATCGACTAAACTAATAACTTCCTTTTAGCGAAACTTGAAAAAAAATATTAATATTCAATGGACACGGACATGATGAAACTATTATGTAGGTTTTTTTCTGTCTGTCTACAGAAATATACCGTGTTGATCAAACCAATACACGGTGAGCTTTATCAAGGTGCGAGAGATACAAAACACGAGACTCATAGCAACATTCTCAAAAATAATAAAGACGACAAACAGAAAATGCTTAAAATCGTCTTAAAAGGACGTAAATCAAGAAAACGAATAAAAAATAAATGTATCTTTCTACAAAACGGTAATTAGTATATGATTATTGTGTATACCTTACTAATAATCTATATCTGTAAACAATGTTAAGAAATTTTTTAGCAATCAAGTTTGGCAGAAATTCTAACTACAAATGTAAGTGTAAAAAGTATTATAATAGTTCAATTACAAGTACAATTAAAGATAGCGCTTCCCGTAAATCATCAAAAATCAAGACTGCTAATAATGTTTCTGCATGAATTGTTATTTACTAAATAAGAAGGCATCGAAGGACTACTTGTCTTTTGTAAAAAAAAAAAAAAAAACACTGACTAATACAGTTGACGGTTTACTTGGACATTTAAACTTGTATCATGCATGGAGGTGCAGATTTGATAATACATGTAGATGGTAAAACTTTTTTAGTAATCATAAGTATGGTGTTAAGAGTACTAACACGTGAAAGCCAGGAGTTGAAGGCAGAGTAGTCGTTTTCTTCAAGGAAAACTTATATGTGCATGCATTGAAATAAACTGTTATTTTTGTTGGATTAAATCTTGAACATTTATAATGTAAAAGAACTTCTATATATTTTTCTATTGTAAAGTATGACGTCAACTGTAAATGTCAGCGCTTTTTGCAAAAGTCAACAAGTAGATATCCAGTGGAAGACCCGTAGCCGCACGGAGGGTTGATCGTTCAGCCAAAAAATAAATTTAAAGTTTTTTAACGCTAATTGGTTATGTGGCTTTTATATTACCCGATTACCAGGAAATCAAAATGTTTGTCCAACAACATATGACAGCATATAAGCATCTTGTGATCATTTGTAGTTTGTTGTGGCCCTAGAGTTGGTCGGAATATTAGAGAAAAAATAGGGCAATATGCACAAAGTATTAATTAGAAGCTGTTATATATTTTTGCAGTTTATTCATTTGAATGAAGTAGTTTGTTTGAAAAACACAGCTAAAAGTAAGTATCTCTCTCTCTCTCTCTCTCTCTCTCTCTCTCTCTCTCTCTCTCTCTCTCTCTCTCATGTACATGAAATTGAGAAAACAAAAAAATTAAACAACTTACAAAAGTGTGCTATGTGGCATTAATTTCAGTGATTTCGCAAACTTTCATTTTAGATTGCTATGTAGGATATCATGGTAATAGATGTGAAATACCCTGTCCCTACCCAAGCTACGGAATGTATTGTCAGTCAAAGTGTTATTGTGAAAAAGAATACTGTAATCACACGAACGGATGTCGAGGTAAGCTGATTTAAATGCATACAGGCTATATTATTTAACAAAAGAATTTACATAATTCGAGTGGAGAAAGGGGTTGACATTCTTGAACATGGTGGTGACCACTGGATTTATAATGAAATTTTTCATTAAGAGTGAAAACTTGTAAAATGTTCACAGTGTTGAACAGGAAACCCCCTTTCCTCTCTATCGTGCATTTCTCGTGCAAATCAACACAAATCACCACATTGACCTTGGAATTACAAATGCAACCTTAAGGGTTGAGATATTTTCTTCCATAGAGTGTTCACCGGGTTCCAGGGGAAAAGGCTGTGAATATGATTGTACATATCCAAATAAATTATGGCGTATATTTTAAAAGAAAATAAGTCTGCGTTTTCGTGAATGTTGTAAAATAACCTCCTCGATCGTTCTCGAAATGTTGTTTGAAAGATAAAAGCCGAGGCGTTAGCCGAGGCTTTTATATTTCAAACAACATTTCGAGACCGAGGACTTTATTTCTATTCTACCATGTATGCTACAATCGCTAAATTACGGATAATAGTTTCCTCTATATATAAACGAATTAGGTCACCATGTCTCGATTAAGCTGTTTCATTTAACACCAGAGGTAAAATTGTTTGCTTCCCTGTGGATAGAATGCAGACGATTTGAGCTTTCGTTACATTAAAAATAGCCTTTTTAAATTATAAATTTGTTCGTAATATGTATTGATCAGTTAAAATGGATATACAATTTAACAAAATCATTTTCCTGTTTTACCGCTAAAATCACACTGTTTAATGTGTAGGGAGGTCCGTGGAATAGCCCCGCTTAGCTATAAAAACCGACATTTTTCAGCAACTTGATGCAATTTACAATGTTCACAGTGTTTATACTGCAAAAGACGACACATCGATGCGGTCTAAACAAGTATTTCATTCAACAGCAAAACATGCATTTGAATTGTTCAGATTTGATGTGTGTTTCTGAACTGATAATTTTTTGATGACGTTCGTGATTTATTGGAGAATAATGTCCGCCGGTGATTTGATGTAAAAAGAAAGAAGAAAGTAAGAAAGAAA